AATGGGGAAGACCAACCTCACACTGGGAAGGGATAATCATAGGTAATCTATGGGATGAATAAACCCAGTTCTATCGACTTGGGTAGACACTTTAAATGTTTCTACCCAACCCTCAGTGAACCATGCCATGGACCAGGCACTACAATGACCTTAGCCACTGGCCTTACGGGGAACATGGCATCCCCCAAGGGTCACACCAGATGGTGCCTGGCTATCAAATGGAATAGTGTCTCGGGTCTTAAAGGCTTGTATTCAAACAAGAAGTCATGTAAGTGATGCATGAACTAAGTCCACACAGAAGAAGTACACCAGTCTGTGTGACCCAAAGAGGACAATAACAAAATCCAAATATGATAAAGGGAAATGTATCAGAACTTAAATGTGAATACGCAATTTGTAGAAAGCTATGGAGGGCAGTGGGAACCCAAAATCCACCTGTAGAATGGTGGTTGAATTGGGCCTCTGGTAGATCCCCTCTAGTCACAAGCGAGTGACTCAAAACAACTTTATTATCAGAGATTATTACATTTGATTATGGGAAATCAAGCCATGGTATAATAGGATACTTGGTCAGTTGACCTCTCTCTTGACCCAACCAGAATTTGCTCTAAGCTCAAATATTTCTCTATTGTTCAAAGAAAGAATTTTCTGCTGTCTTTTTAAATATTGTTGGTGTTTTTTTCTTTCATACTCTATTTTTATCTTTATATTATTTGTTTTCTTCTTTCTGTTTCATTTTGGTTTGTATTGTTATTTTTATTCTGTTAAGTCTCCCAGTTAGCAGCACAGAAGGACTGGATGCATAGACACAATAACTGATATAATGATTTATTGGGAAGGAGGATTTGGGGAGCAATCAATGGATGTGGGAGGTGGAGGAAAGAGAGCATTAGAACTCATTGTAATGATTTAGGTACAACTCTTTTTAGAATCTGTTTTTAACTATGGAAATGTATTATATCTAGAGAACTACTAAAAAACAAACAAACGAGCTAAGTTTACTAGGGGTGAAGGAGGTAGAGTTTTGCTTAGGGGACACTGAGTTCATTTTAATGGTAGCAGCATAATTTGGAGAGGGATAACAATCATGGTTGTACAACACGAAGAGTATAATCAATGGCACTGAATTATACATGTAGAAGTTGTTGAAGAAAAAAAGTTACAGCTTAGGAAACCCAGTGACAGCTGTACTGTCCTATAGGGTCACTCTGTCCTATAGGGTGACGTCAAGTCAATGACAATGAGTTTAGTTCAGCAAACCAGCAATGTAAAACAAATGAAACCATTTAACACGCTGTCAACTATGCCACATGCAATTACTTTACTTTGTGCTGGTCATTTAAACTCCTTGGCACTCAGTCTCTGCATTTGTTAAAAAAGGGAGGACCTACACTAATGGGAATACTTAGAGAGGTTTAGGAAGGGCTAATTCTCCTGTAAACTTTAAGACATCCCCAGCAATCCTAGAATATTCAGTAAAATGGTGTCCTTGTTAGGAAGCTTCACGGAATGTCTCTAAACCATATTCAACTTCTTCCCCCATCATGAGGACTTAAATAGAAGTCGTGATGTTGCCACTATAAAACCAAGATTACTTCAAGCTGTTGCTTCTTTCTTTAGGTAGATAACATACATTAACTCCTAGAAATCATAAGTAAAGTAGAATTATAATTTGAAATAATGACTATGCAAACTATTATATTTGACTGCTTGAAAACATTGACAAGTTCTAATGAATGAGTAGGACAAAATGATAAAAAGTGAACTGGAGATGTTCATTAGGCAGTGTAGAATAAGCACAATAATCATTTATAACTTCAGAAGCAGACAATGTCTATATCTCCAAGGAATCTAAAGTTATTGCCTCTTGCTATTCCAACACTGTAACAAGTAAGTTAAGTCTGCCATGTTTAGAACTATATTTGAACTGAATACTTTAAATTGTTGCTTCCTAATAAAGGCATCTGTATATGTAACATTGTAGGCTATCTTTTTAATTCAATAATGTTTCAAAAGAACTCCTGTTGAAGTCTACCAAACCTCTGCCTGAACAATATTAATATGCAAGTCCTTTAAGTCTTTTATAGTTCCTAAAAGTCTTGTTTACAAAAACGTGAAAATTTTCTATGATAGTAAATATAGAATATAAAAAGAAAAACATCAATCTCTTCTAGAGAATTATTGATCCACATTACTGTACTTAACTAAATATTTAACTGAATACTTAGAAGCCCTGGTGACATAATGGGTTACATGTTGGGCTCTTAACCAGAAGGCTTTCTGCTCCTGTACACATATGCAGTATATAAAATCCACTGGGGCAATTCTAATCTGTTCTACAGGGTTGCCGAGAGTCAGAATTGACGCAAGGCAGTAAATTCCTTTTGTTGTTGTTTATTCTGGACTAGAATTAATTCCTTACTCTAGAATGAATTTGTAAATTTCTAGCAAAACACATTGATAGCCACAGTAAACAGGCATTTCAATTTTTTCCCCACACCAAGTTGGTTTCTCAGTTTCTTAGTATTTTACTATTTAAAAAGCCTACATGCTTCAGTCTGCAAAGGGTAGCAAAAGACATTTTTTTGTTTGTTTTTTAGCAAAACAACGATATGGGTGTTTATACCCTCTTCATATTTAATATTCATGGAACAAAAATAGGGGATACTTTTAACGAATAATTCTAACCTCAGAAAGAAAGTCTCTATCTTTTCTTCCTTTTAAGTTTCACTTAATGAAGCTTAACTTATCTTAGAATCTAGCTCCCATTATTATTGGTAGGCTTTCTAAATCTCTTTAAAGAATATTTAAAACATTGAAAATTCAAAAGAAAATATGATCGGAAAATGTTCCAATATAATGTTAAATTTTAAACATGGATTACAAAACAGTATGTACATCACTATCTAAATCTCAATTTTTAAAATATGCATAACAAAGATACGAAAGTCAATGCCCTAATTATGAATTATTTCCATTATTATTTTTCAACAAAGAACCTGCCTTAATTTTATACAACCAAGAGAATGTTTATAACATCATCTTTACTTATTTAGAATAATGGAATACCAAACTTTTAAAAAATATGTTAAGTGTGATGTTACTTATCAATGAATATCAGCCTGACTCCTAAAGATAAAAGTGTGCTGATTTCAGCTCTCTTAAAATCTAGCATTGGTTCCCTGTACAAGGACTCTCTCTACTGGTGACAGAGAGAATATATTTATTCTGACATTTCTGAAGTAATTGTGTATATTACATAAGTTCTAGAGGGACGGTTTTCACTATAAACCTTGAATTTCAACAATGACTTTAGGGCTGTCAATGGCAGGGAATAGTTTCTATTAATATGTAACAATTTCAAATTGCAGTTTGATTATGAAATAATAGCTAATTTAAGTGAGACTAGTACATAGCTAAATAAAACCACAAGTATATGTATATATTTATACACATACATATAAACATACTTTAAGTATATGTATTCTTAAATAACTAAAGTGAATTTAAGAGCTGTAGTAACATGTCTGTAATATAAGTCTCTGAACTGCCACTATCCTTATATAAAATCTGAACAACTCACAGTGAAAAATGAGTTCCACATCATTGGATCTAATTGAATAAAGAATGTAGCAACAACAAAAAGGTTAAGATGTCCTTGGTTTAAAACACAGATTTTTAAGAGGACTCAAATGTTTTCCACTACCCTAATAACATAACATTTATAATGCTTATGAATTATAGTGGTGGTAGAAGAGAAGCTGAGTGAGAAGAAGCTATTCCAGGAAGAGAGAAGTATAATGTTACTGCATCTCAAAAGTACCTAGTTTCCTTGGGGATGGCAAGGTAATTTTGTATGTATCTACAGTATATGGTACACCGAAATAGCTGAAGATGAAACTGGAAAACTAGAGTGTGTCATAAGAGGAAGAGTTTGATACACTATTCTTAGGAGTTGGACTTGGCTTTGAAGGCAGTGAGAAAGCCACTGAAAATTTAATCAAGAGAGAGATGTAACCAGATCAGTTTTTTGAAGGACAGAAGAATGAAAATTAAAACTGAGAGCTTGGAAGATAGAAAGGAGACAAGTACACTAGAAAGGTCTCGCTGTTGTTAAGAACTATCATGTTGGAACCGAACATGTACAACAGCATGAAACACTGCCCAGTTCTGTGCCATCTACACAATTGCTATCTTTCTCCGCCATTATTGCTGCCACTGATAACATTTGTTGTCGGAAGTACATTAAACAAAGTTATGAATAGCATCCTAGCTTATAAGGAGGATTCTAGCTGAAATTCTTCCAAGATAGATGTTTGTTATTTGGCAGCCCATAGTACTTCCAATATTTTTGCCAACACCATTATTCAAAAGCATTGATTCTTCTTCAGTTACTTAGTCAATGTCCAACTTTGCCATGCATATGAGGGCTAACACTGCATACACGAAGAAGTTATTTTCCAAAGACATTTTAACAGGCATGACTATCTTGAAGATAGAATAAATTTCAAGCTTTGGTAAGTTGGTGGAGGCTGACATCTTCAAGATCAACATTAGAGTTTAATTAAGGTATGCCTTTTGAAATACTGTTAGCAAGATATCACTCTTTAACAGGAGTAGAAAAAGCCGTCTTTCTCCTGTTAAAGAGTTACAGTCTCTGAAATTCACAGAGGCTGTTTTACCCTGTCCTACAGGATCTCTGAGTCAGCATCAACTTGACGGCAGTAGTTTCGGTTTGGGTTGATAGCCTATGATACAGAGCCCTATTGTTATAGTGGTTATTGCATTGGACTGCTAACCATAAAGTGAGCAATTCGAACCTACCAGCTGCTTCGCTGGAGAAAGTCTTTGCTTTCTACTCCCATAAAGAATTAGTCTCTGAAACCCCTGGGGGCAGTTCTATCTTGTCCTATATAGTTGTTTTGAGTCAGAGTCAACTCGATTGCAGTTAGTGTATAACATCTAATCTGGCCTACACACATAAATTGGGTGCCACGGGCTTGCTTTGGCTGCACATACACTAAAAATTAGAACGATAGAGAAGATTAGCATGGCCCTTGTGCAAGTATGATGTGTGATGTCTGGATAAGGTCCTAATAAAATAGTTTGGAAAATAAATAAATAAATAAAAACATTGGGTGCCATAATATAAATCCTTGCTAATTATTACACAAACCTTAAATCTTGAGGAAAAATCCAATCCAATCATTATGTTATAGAAGTCTGCTCATTGATGTTCATGAATCTAATAAAACCTTCAATTGATTCATATTCATATTAACTTTGTCTTCAGATGCATACTTTAAATTCCACCCAAATGGGCAAACAGTGAAGTTTCTTAGTTCTGAGATTTCTTAAATTCCATTTTTTAGCATATTATCTAGATATGAAGTTGAAAATATTAATGCCCATTTTTCTAGAGGTTAACATCATAAACTGAAAAGTGTTGTTTCACAGATTCATGAGTTCCACAAAAAACATCTCTCTTTATGCCACTATTTTCAACAGTGGGACTGGTTCACAAAAGAAACAGAAACAGCTTACTTACTTGAACCTGGCTGGTGAAAGAGGAGTGGGAGGAAACATTCCTGGTTCAAAAGAATCAAAATAAGTCACTGTCCAAGAAAAGCTGCAACAGGAGAATCCAGCAGTTAGGGATATTATAAGCAGAGTCCAGAATCCTTAATGGAAAAAGAGGAAAACCTTGAATTATTAACACTAAAACAATTTCAATTAAACTAGTATCTTAATGTTCAGAATATGAAGTGTATGTCTGTCTATATTATATGTTAAGTGCTGTTATAAGAGACCTTAGTGCAAGCTAAGTGGGGAACCCTGGAGGTGCTGTGGTTAAGCACTGGGCAACTCATCAGTAGGATGGCAGGGTAGTTCAAACACATCAGTTGTACTGCAGGAGAAAATGAAGCTGTCTGTTCTAGTAATGATTTAGTTTTGGAAAACGTTTGAGTTGGTATTGACTTGATGGGTTCGGTTTGGGTAAGTCATGTAAAAATGTAAAATAATAAAGCATAACTAGAAGTACATCATTTTTTAGTATGTGGAAAAACAATGTAAATTCATCTTAAGGATGTAACTCTCAACTTCAATTCTATAAAATTCAGCTACAGGGGAAAAAAACAATTGAAACATTTCAGTTGTTATTTCACATTTAACTTCATGAATCACACCTTACTGTTTAATAAGACATTCCTTTTCTTTCACTTTTTTTAACATATAGATTGTGGGGTCTCCCCTTTGTAGCTTTCTTATACATGCCCATAGAAAGATTATGCAGGGGAAAGTTAAGAAATGATGTGGTAGGGGCCTCTGACCTCTGACTTCACTAGTAGAACTAACAGAATCCCCATCATCAGCATCAGCTGACCAAGGCCCATTTCCATGAGGCTGAGATCAGATAAGGATGTTATGCCCTCCAATTATCCTTCCTCCCAAGGTACCGTTTCTCATTTGAGTTCACAATTCAATGCAGTGACCACACAGAACTCACAGATGGTATGCATGATTACGGGGGTTATTAGGGAAGTTAGCAGGTTACAATTCAGGTGAGACATGCTCAGGATACAGTTGAGTCAGGACAGTTTCTTCTTTGCCATCCCTGCAGGCAGGTCTCTATGGCATTGGTTCTCAACCTTCTTAAGGCTGCAACCTTTTAATACACAGTTCATGTTGTGGTGACCCCTCAACCACAAAATTATTTTCGTTGCTACTTCATAACTGTAATTTTGCTACAGTTATGAATTGGGCGACCCCTGTGAAAGGGTTGTTTGACCTCCAAAGGGGTTGCAACCCACAGGTTGAGAACCACTGCTCTGGGCAGTCAGCCTCTTGGTCTGACCTCTGTCCTGCCCAGGCAATGTTACAGAGGGCATAATGCCACTCCATTGTAAGTCTCAACCCGAAGGCACTCAGCTCTAGATCGAGCTTTGTGGGTCGGCAAACCCAGCTTCTCCAATTAAGTGCCAGAGACACCCCTCTCCACAGGCCAGCCTCCTTCCCCAAAGCACTCAGCTTTATTTGCTCCGTGGGCTAGATAGAAGTCCACCCAGCTTTCTCAAGTTCTGGCTTCAGGTTCTGCTGCTGATGCTTCTCTGGTGTCAACATTTATCTCCTGACTCAAGGAGGTTCAGTACACAGGGATCTAGAGAACCAAGGGACGTGCTGCACTCTTGAACCCTTCTCTTTTGCTCGTGGTGAGATCTCCCTCCCCCTCCAACTCACCCCCCAAGCATGACTTCATTCTTCTGATGGCTATTTTATACCCAGCAGGATGGCAATCACAATTAACCGTGCTAAATTATTACTCACAGTGAATCATTAATTCAATCACTACCTTTGCTCACCTTCTTACTCAGACCTATCAGGAAACTGAAGGTCGTTTGGTGAGACTAGCAAAGACTATGGCTATAAGAGCATATTAAATCATTGCTGCATTGCAACATTACAGACCTAAACCAATTCTTTAACCTTACTCAATTTATTAACAAAAGTTAATGCCCAATTAATTTACAAATAGGTTGCTTGCAGTCAGTCTGGAACTACATTTTCTCCCAAACACCAAATAAAAAAGCATGGTACTTACTACACTGGACTCAAGGGGAGGGAAAGAGCAAAAAGTGGAAGAAATGAACAAAATCGCAATGCTCTTGGCTAGGTGTCATCAATTTTGACTTGTAACCATCTCATGTGAGTTTTAAACTATCGCCTAGAACAGTGGTTTTCAATCTGTGGGTTGAGACCCCTTTGGGGGTCAAACGACCCTTCACAGAGGTCACTAAGACTATCAGAAGACACCTATTTCCGACGGTCTTAGGAACCGAGACACCGCCCCTCTATCGTCTCCAGGCGGTCCGCCCACGTGCAGACGCCCACAGACGAGGACCTGGCGTGAAGACTGTTACCCACGCTGCACCATGCTTCAAGACAAATGTCATGTCATTAGAAAAAAGAATTTCACAAAATATAATTGAGCAGTTTTTGTGATTAATCACTATGCTTTAATGATGTTCAATTTGTAACAATGAAAATACATCCTGCACATCATATATTTTTACTTTACGATTCATAACAGTAGCAAAATTCGTTATGAAGTAGCAACAAAAATCCTTTTATAGTAGGGGTCACCACAACATGAGGAACTGTATTAAAGGCTGTGGCATTAGGAAGGTGGAGAACCACTGCTCTAGAGTATCACTGACAATACTCTCTAAGGAGCTGATTGCCAGGTCTCTCCCTAAAAACCATTCAGTGAATTCAAACTGCTCATTTTCAGGTAGCAGTTGAGTGCTTAACCATTCTGTCACCAAAGCTCCTTCAAAATGGCTGCACCCCACGTTACAATATTTTTAGATGCTATCCATACTCTTTTGTTTTGAGCAGCTACCTGCAAGGTCAGTAGTTGGAAACCACCAGCCAAGCTCCTCAGGAGAAAGAGGAGGCCTTCTATTCCCATAAAGAGTGACAGTGTGGGAAACCCACAAAAGCAGTTGTACTTTCTCTTACAGGGTCACAATGACTCAGAATTGACTGGATGGCAGTGAGTTTGGTGTTTTCATCAATTACTGAGTTTTATTCATAGCCCTTAAATATATGTACAAAAGGCTTGGAAAGTTAATGAAAAAACTCGATTAACTATTAATTTTTCCATGAATTTTTTGAAGCTCCCTCTTTTAACAGAATGACTTGTTCTAGTGAGACTCTAAAGTTATAGTTACTGTCAGGCATAGAATACAGATAAATAAGTAGCCAACACCCTAAGTAAGGTACAGAACTTTATTTTGCTGTCAAGTTTTCAAAATTTCACAAATTCATTTATGCATTTAACAAAATGTATAAAAAAGGGATTGCTATGTTTGTTACCATGCTAAAACCAAAACAAAACCTATTGCTGTTAAATCAGGCCTCCGAGTCCCATAGGATACAACAGTACTGCTCCAAAGGGTTCTCCAGGCTATGAATCTTTTTTTAAAATCATTTTATTGGGGACTCATACAACTCTTATCACAATCCATACATACATCAATTGTGTAAAGCACATTTGTACACTCATTGTCCTCATCATTCTCTAAACATCTGCTCTCCACTTAAGCCCTTAGCATCAGCTCATTTTCCCCCTCCCTCATGAACCCTTGATAATTTATAAATTATTCATCTACTTTTCTGTTGTCCATTCCCTAGGGAGGAGGTTATATGTAGATCCCTATAATCGGTCCCCCCTTTCTGCCCCACCATCCCTGCAAGAGGCTGTGAATCTGTGCGCAAGCAGCCCACCTCATCTTCACCTGCGAAGCTGGTGGGATTGAACTGTTAACCTTTTGTTAGCAGCCCAGCACCCAATCAACAGCACTAGCTGGGCTCCTTTTTACTGTTAGATCATAAAAATGGAGTGGTGAACAAAATAGATAAGATCACTGTCTTTATGGGATAACTCAGGTGGGGCAGAAAGACACCGTATATACTCGAGTATAAGCTGACCTGAATATCAACAGAGGCACCTAATTTTACCACAAAAACTGCATTAAAAATATGGTGAAAAACTCGGCTTATACATGAATATCAAATCAATACATGAAATATAGGTTGTAATAACTGTTTTGAATAGATGTTACCCTTTCGAAGGAGATACCATCAGAACTCAGATTGAGAATGTGAAAATAAAAAAATCTTATGAAAATGTTTAGGGAAAATATTAACATACAAAAATCAACAGCTTCCATATATACAAGCAACAAATTAGATATAATGGGAGAAAGCCTACACCATAGCAAGAAAAAAAGTTAACATGGTGTCATTAAAAAATGTCAAGGTCTACATAAAAAAACAAACAAACAAACTTTCAAGAAATACAAAAGAAATTTGTGCCATGAAGAGTGATATAATCCTAGATAGGAAGATTGGGTCCAAAATGGACACCAAATCTTCTCTAAATTAATCATGAAATCAATGTTGTATTGCCAATTGTATGTATATTCATGAGAGAGAAGGGGATTATAAGAGTTAGTTCTAAAATTCATATGGAATAGTAAATAACAATAACCACAGACTAGTCATAGAAATTAACAGTTATTATGAGACTTTCAAATGTTTGTGGAAAAGCAGAATGAAAGGACAATTTTTTTTCCCCATTTTCTTTTTGAAGCCCATCATTTAAGGGCTCATACTTCCAACAATGTGGTACTGATACATAGACAAAAGAATGGAATAGAAAGCTGAAGGGAGGGAAAAAAGAGGAGGTAATACCAAGGGCTCAAGTACAAAGAAAATGCTTTGAAAATGATGATAGCAACATATGTACCAATGAGTTTGATTTTGTATGGATTGATATATGCATTATTATAAGAGTTGTAAGAAACCCCAATAAAATGATTTAAAAGAAAAAAAGCTGAAAATTAAGCCCAATAGATTAATTAAAACTCTCAGTGATTCAATGGGATGACTATCTAGAGAAAGGAAAGAAAAACTGAATCCATTCCCACCTGCACATATACAAATACTAGTTACGCTTTTCTGGAAAGATGTATAATAAACAGTTGGCTCCTTGGAGGGAGAGGAAATGAATAGTTGGGGTTTAAGGATTTGAGGAAGTATTTTCACCATCTACTTACTTTTTCATAGTTTTTGCATGTGGAACCATGTGCCTATTAGAAAAAATCAGAAAAAAAAT